GCAAGTTCTTTATAAATATTAGTTGTCATTGTTGTGATGGTTATCTGATTACTCTGATTAATTATGAGTCTTGAACTCCATTCTCCATTAATATCTTCTTGTGCTTACTCTTTGTTTCTGCCCCTGTAATTGTGCCTTGTTTCCCAAGGCCTCAATTTTATCTTATGGCATCCTTTTGCTCTGTCCCCGTTGATTACTGTTCAATCTCCTCTATATAGGTTGATTCAGAAGATGAACTGACTGTCTTGATTCAGGTACCCACTTCTGATCCAGCAAGCCATAACTTCTTAGGTAGTAGGAGCGGCAAGTGGGTAGGCTATTTTCCCTAAGTTAAAGGAATGGCAAGCAGAATTAGCAAGTTCACCTCTGTTGAATTTGTATTCTTTCTTGCTCCCTTCTCTAAATTTTTATGTTTCTTGTTTTTAGTGTCTTAATATCACTGTCTGCTCTGTTCATCAAATGAAGGCAAAACCCCAGAGATTTAAAGTGTATGTCAAATTAATCACCCTGCATTTACTCTGCCAGAAATAAGCTCTGTAATACCAAAGGGAAAGGAGGTATTGCTCCTGTTCTTGAGATTTGAGTTAAACTTTTTGGGACCTTATTATTAAGACGTTCTCACTGAAAATCTCAAGACTTTTGAATTCATTTGTTTTTCTAGTCAATTTTTTTCTTTATTTCCTTCTGTACATTTTTTTTCCAGTTGAAATATGAAAGCTTATCATGATAATTCTTCTGGAATATAAGCCCTGAAAACTGCCACAGGTGAAGTAAATATAGAGGGAGCCAAAAAAATGGATACACATTTTAAGAAATGAAAAAACTATTAAAATTGTAATGCTCAAAATATAGTGATAACAATAGATGAATACAAATCACGTTTGACTTCTGCAATTATAAGAGGTGCTCAAAGTGGTTATCATCAGTGTCCAGACACTTCTGATTACTGTGAACTACTGCTTGAGCAACGCTGACCAAAGTGTCCACTTGTATATATTTTTTGGCACCCCCAGTATATATTCCCTTAGTAATTGCATGATGGTTTGTAATTAATAACTTATTAATTAACATTTCAAAAAGTACTGGTTAACTTACAGAATTACACTAAATTACATGAAAAGTATATTGTAGACTTACATTAAATTTTTTAAGAGGCTTGGAATCAAGATGATCAAGATGGAATAACATCTTGAATTTATCCTCTTACTTGAATATATATACCTTACATTTTAGACAACTAAAATCCAAACAAAATATCTGAGACAACAGCACCCAAGACATTGAACATCAGGTAATTAAGGACAATAGTCCTTGAAAGATGAGAAATAAATGAGGTGAATTCTACTATTGCCTTATCTTATTGCGTAGATAAAGTTTTCAGGCCCTAGAGCAGGTAAAGGGAATGTGGGTATTGCCCACTGATCTGAACTGAAGAGATTAAGATGCAGGTCAAGAGAGGCCAAGAAGGCAGAGTAGAAAAGAGAGAGCAGCATAGAGGAACTCTAGAGATCTGTAAAGAGTCCCCTTTAAGTATTTAGCTGAATACTGATCAGTGCATGTATGTGAGAAAACTACAAAGCTTAGAGAAGGACCTATCGGAAAAGATCAGAGAAATCAGTGCCTATGGCTCACACAAAACTAAGAATGGTGCCTATTTTCAACAGCAGGAGTGGAATACCTAATAATTCATGAGAGCCAGAGCAGTTTTAATATAAGTTAAACTTAGCTTACTACTGAGGTAATAAGACCCTGCACTGGTTTTGTCTAACAAAGTTTAAAAGCTAGACTCTAAAGGATCCAACTGGATCCAACTGTATAGGTTGCCAACAAAAAACCCCTACATTTTAAATATAAAGGTGTAAATAAGTCTTAAAAGAATATTAAAAGGTATACCATGTTAACATTAACCAAAAGAGAGATGGAATGACAATATTAACATTAGACAAAGTAGACTTCAGAGAAAATAATACTACCAAAGATAAAGAGGGTCACTTCATAATAATAAACGAATCAATTCATCAAGAAAACATGCTTCTAAACATTCGTGTACCTAATAATAGAGCTTCAAAATACATGAAGAAAAACTGGCCCCCAACAGAATGTCATGGAGAAATAGACATATGTACAATCATAGTGAAGGATTTCAACATTCCCCTCTTAATAACTTATAAAACAAGTAGGCAAAACCAGTGAGGATATAGACTTGAAAATCTCTTATCAACCAAATTGAACTAATTGAAGTTTATAGAATGCTCCACCCAACAACAATAAAATATGCATTATTTTTAAGTGTACACAATCATCCACTAAGATAGACTATATTCTGGGAAATAAAGGAAAGTTCAATGAATTTAAAAAGATTTAAGTTATATATTTTCTGACCACAATGGAATTAAATTAGAAATAAATAACAGAAAGAGATAAAAAAATCCTCAAACATTTGGAAACTATTATAAATAACACACTTCTAAATAGCCCATGGATCAAAGAATAAATCAAAAGGGAAATTGGAAGTATTTAAAACAAATAAAAATGAAAACACAATATATCAAAATTGGTGGGATGCAGCTAAAGCAAAACAATATTTTTAAAAAGGGAAATTTGTGAAACTAAACACCTACTTTAGACAAGATGAAAAGGTGCATGTTAAGGACTTCAGCTTCTACCTTAATAAGCTAAAAAAATGAAACACACAATGCGCAGAAAAAAACATAGATCAGAGGACAAATAAATGAAACAGAAAATATAAAAACAGTAGTAAAGTTATGTAAACAATAACTGGTTCTTTGAGGAAATCAATAAAATTTATAAATCTCTGAACAGATCAGGAAAGATACAAGCAAATGGCTAGTATCAAAGAAAGGTAAAATCACTACAGATTCTACAGATATTCAAGAGATAATATGGAAATATTTTGAAAAACCTTATGCCAATAAATGATTAGAGGAACAAATTCCTTGAAAGACACAAACTACTAAAGTTTGTGCTATAGGAAATAGATGACTTGAATAGCTTATATCTATTAAAGAATTTGAATTTGTAGTTTAAAAATCTTTCCAATTATCAGTCATCAGATATATTTGATGCATAAAACTCAAAATGTTATTGAGTGGAATTCAAATGCTATAAACTAGAAGCAAATGTTTTAAATATCTCTGGGGGCTAGGTAAATAATGTAAGTGAGTGATGTCGAATAGTTACAGAGAAAAAAAAAGCTGCCAAAAATACAAACTTTATTTTTATTGGAACATGGTATATAGATAATGCAACATAATGTAAACATACATGATAACAAAGATTTCATTTTAATTTGAAAATAAAAATTTAAAGTTAAGATGTAGTTATTAATTATGAATTTCATTTCTTGTGGTGTTTTGGCTCTTCTTTGGAATCAGAAACCTGATTCCTTTTCTTCTGCTATTAGATATTGCTATTTTTTTATGTGTTTCCTGAGACATTGTGGATAACTTCCAATATTTTACTTCGGTATTAGCATTTAATTTTATACAGATTCATAATGGAAAAATAATTATTGACAGAAGTTACTTCCAAATATGAATAAAATTCTTACACAACAACATGCTCTTCCTTCTTTCTCACATGTGAGACTTTTTCTCATTTTTCAGTTCCCAGAATTAATATTTCCTCTTCAGAGATTGTTATTTCTCGTTCTACTGATTTCTTAATAGTATTTTTCACTACTAGTAGCTACACTTTTCTTTGTTAAACCTATACTCATCTCTTCTACTAGCCTAAGTTCCACGGGGGCAGGGTCTTTTGTCTGTTTCCCTCATCATTGTCTACCAATGTCTAACTCCATGCTTAAACTACAATAGGAACTCAACAAAGAATTGAAGAGTGAATAAAATCCACTAAGCTCTGGTCAAAAGGCAAAACTGACAGCTGCCCTATAAAATTTTCTACATTGGTGATGATTTGAGGCCCAATTCAACTCCTATTCCAAATAGAGAAAGGTAACAGAAAGTTTTTTGGTTTTTTAAAAATAACTTTTTGGAGGAATACTTAGGAGCGCTTATCAGAATTTAAAGTGAACATATACTTTGACCTTTCAGTAATACATCTATAGAGATTCACAATATGCATACCTTTTAAAGAAGCAATTGCTTTCCTAGGCATTTAGCCTAAAGAAAAAGTCAGACAAGTACCAAAACACATGTGTAGATGCATTCTCATTACAATATTATTTGTAAGAGCAAAAAACAGAAGTTGGAAATAAGCTAAATGTACTTTAAAATTATTTAAATAAATCCTGACATAGTCATCAATGAGGTCCTATGCAAACATTAAAAATATAATACGTAACTGTATTTAATTATAGTTAAAATCACAATGAAAATAAATCCACAATATATTAAGTGAAAGAAAGTTTAAATAATAGGTATACTAGTAAAGTAGTCACTTTCCTTTTTTGGTTAAAAGAAAAACAGAAACAATTGATGTAGATACATGGATATGCACAGAAAAATATCTAATAGGGTATACGTGATCTTACAATTACGTTCGCGAACTCATCCTAGAAAAAGTGCTACATACCTCATTGCTGAATATCACCATGGTCACCTTCAAAATACTCCCCTTGGGAAGCTATGCACTAATGCCAATGCTTAGTCCACCCTTCAAAGCAATTTTGGAATTCTTTTTCTGAAATGGCCATCAGAGCCATTGTCGTATTACTCTTGATGTCCTGAATGCCATCAAAATGTCTTCCTTTCAATATTTCCTTTATCTTCCAGGAAAGAAAGAAGTCGTTGGGGGCCAGATCAGATGAGTAGAGAGGGTGTGCCAATACAGTTATTTGTTTACTGGCTAAAACCTCCCTCACAGATAGTGCCATGTGAGCTGGTACATTGTCGTGATGCAAGAACCATGAATTATTGGCGAAAAGTTCAGGTCATCTAACTTTTCAACGCAGCTTTTTCAGCACTTCCAAATAGTAAACTTAGTTAACTGTTAGTCCAGTTGGTACAGATTCATAATGAATAATCCCTCTGATATTAAAAAAAGGTTAGCAACATTGTTACAACAAGTTCACAAACTTAATTGTCAGGCCTCTTATATAGAAGATTGCTCATAGTGATTGCTTCTGGCTAGTGGAATTTCTAAATTGTCTTTCATACTTGTTTATTGTTATAAGGAGCTTGAATTAATTTTATAATAATTTTTAAAACTAATAAATATATTTCTATTTGGGAAAAACACTTCTTAAGGAGATAATGCCATTTCTTTTATGAATATATTTGAATGTGTCCTATCCTTTTCAATCAGAGGTTTCTTTACATTATGGGATGTTTCACACTGGTGAGAAAGGAGAATTTTTTTTTAAATTGACTTTTAGTTTTCTTTCAATGTGTTCCAGCACACACTAAAAATGCTTAACATTTTTTTTGTTTTATTTCACTGATATTAAGTATTGTTGGTCAAATTGTGATATTGTCATCAAGCTCACTTTGTAAACTTGATTTTATTTTATATTTTACTATTAGACATTTTTAAAGCGAATTCAAATAACAGATTTCATGACATTACGTCCAATATGCAAGAACATAAGCTCTGGATAAGAGGTAAACTATCATCCCACTAACAAATGATCAGATCGTCACCCTGCCAAATCATGCTGTGTCATATGGGGATCTTGGTTAACAAGCTTCTTCAGTAAGAGATGAATCATTGAATTAGAGCATAGTCCAGCTAGCTAGTTTACAGGCTCTTTCCTCCCGCGAATCAATCCAAACAGTCTAATGGGATCATCATGAATGTTTTCCTCTGTTTCCTGGCTCTCAGGTGGGAAACTGTCTACCAGAGTGGTCTTGGAAATGCTGGCATGCAGTCCAGGTAACTGCCCATCTTCATCCTGGTCTGACAAATTAGTATCCTGTTTCTTGGGCTTTCTGCGCTTCCCCTTAAAGTTGTGATCTAGTGAGGCGTAAAACATCTGTGTTTCATTGGTTGCCTAAAAAGAAAGGCCATGTTAATTTTTCATTGTTAGCTCATTCTTTCACTTTGATGACTTCTGGGAATTTCTAAGGCCCATGAAAAACAAGGAGCTTGTTTTCTTGGTGTCAGCTACCTGTTTTTGCCAAATTTGTCAGTTAGAATCCACAACAAAATACAACAGTCAACTCAAGATTTTTGAATGTGGAAAAGAGTATTTAGATGAAATTTTTGTGTGTGTAGTTTTACTTTTCTTATACTCAAAGTATATAGAAACATTTTACATGGACTCTTACTTTCCCTTACCCTATGTTTACCTCAGGGAGAGCTTGCCCTGTTACTCTTACCTAGTAACAATACTCCAATTTGTTAAACCAGGAATAAGCATGATAGGAAGGAACTTAACAAGACACCAGTTCTATTTTACATTTGTTTAATAATTGGTCAGTTAATGGTACCCACAAATGTCCCCAATTTTTCTACACTTCTGTGATTCAGAAGTATAAAAACAACATTGTCCAGTTACATGACTGGTATAAGGCAAGAACTACAGTTCCCATTTTTATCATTTCCTTCTTGCCTGCCTGTGTCCAGATCCACTTTGAGTTCATTTATAGGTTGGCCTTGGAGATATTCATTTTCTTTCTTTCTTTCTTTTTTTTAGCTGAGCCATCCTGCCACCAGTTGGCAGCTCAGCTGCAGCTCCGCTCGGGCCGGGCATTGAACCGCTGTTGTTCAGAGCTCATGCTCTTGAGTGAACTCTTAACCAACTGAGCCACTTGGCCGGCCCCCGGAGATATTAATTTTCATCCAAGAGGGTCTGGTAGTCCTCTCTGGCCTAAAGCTGGGTTAATACTAGAATGGGAAGAACAGGAGACTGGGGAAACTTGGGGAAATATTGGCTTGTAAGCAAGACCTTAAATTTGGTGGTGGAAAGGCTAGGATAGAATTCTGGCTCTGTAATATGCTAATCATGGGACCTTGGGCAGTATTTAAAAACTATTCTGAGTCTTAATTTTCCTGCTTATAAAATGAAAGTTCCTATCTCACAGATTTATGAGTAAATAGACATAATATATACGGAAGCTATAATCACTGTCCAAAAGTGTGGGATTATAATTATTAGAGCTTGTAAGCTAAAACTTTAAGGCAAGCATTGAATAAACTAAAAATTTCTGTATTAAAGATTTATCTTTAAGAGTAGGTCAAAATTATATCAATTTGTGGGGGCAGGGGTAAGAAAGCTACATTTGGATTAGCAAAATCCCTAATGCATGGTAAGAATCTCCCTGTTGCACTCATTTTCATGCTAAGAGTTAAATGCATTATATTCACTACCAGGCAGAAGAGATGGCTCTATTTACAACCTCTCTGGTATTTTTTTTTTTTTTTAGCTGAGCCATCCTGCCACCTGTTGGCAGCTCAGCGGCTGCTCAGCTTGGGCCGGCACTCGAACTGCTGTTACTCAGAGCTCAAACTCTTGAGTGAGCTCTTAACCAACTGAGCCACTCAGCCCCTCTCTGGTATTTTTATCTGACTTTTTAGTCCTAAAATAATCATTTCTGAAAAATGGCAACAGCTGCCTAGCTGGTATCCTTGCTCCAGTCTTTTCTATCTGCCAGTTAGCTTGTATACTCTCTTCAAATTCTCTTCCTAAGACACAACTTACATTTTTTACCATCCTATCTCCAAAATTTTGGCCTATAGAATAAGGTCTGAATTTTATATCCTGACATTTAAGGTTTTCTATGCTTGATTCTACTGTACCTTTTTTATTCTGAATCCGACTTCTCCCTTACATAAACTCTGTATACTAGGAAAACTGGACAATTCACTGCTTCCTGCACACAATACCTCATGCTTTTATCTGCTTTGCTCAGACATATAGAGAAGGAGATGTCACTGAGGTTCAAAAATAACCAGAAGGTTCTTGATAAAAAAAAAAGATATATATATATATATATATATATATATATATATATATATATATATATTTCTTCATTTTCCTTTGAGAAATTCTTCTCCTTTATTTTGTCCTGGATTACCCAAAGCCCAGCACAGGACTAAGCCTGTGACCTAAGCTGGGACCAATCATATCATCCATCCCCTGGCAACAGAAGTTGGCCCGAGAATGGACATGTGATGTCAGCAGAGCCAATTAAATGGCATCTTTGGGATTGACATATAGGTGCAGGAATAGAAAAGGTGTTTTTCCCTGGAGTTGGGAGGAAGAAAATTTGGGTCTTCCAGTGGCTTGTTCAGCCTTTATGGAAGAGTCTGTTGGTAACAGAAGAGAATAAAGTCAGTAATAGAGGGAAGCAGGAAGGAGAAATGGAGAGAGTCCTCCTAGTCAGTCATCTCAAAAACAATACACCCTTATAGCTCCCTGTCATATGAGCCAGTAATTTACCTCTAATGTTAAAGTGGTTTAAATTGGTTTTGCGCTTATAAATGAAAGCATTTCCAAATAATATATGTGTCTGGTCAACAACTGGTCAACTTGATCAGGTGCTGTAGAGTTCAAAAAATGTGATCCTGAGGAAGAACCACAAATTGTGCATGTAATAGTCACATGTGACTGCCAGAGTGTTGTTTCAGTTGAGTGGATGGGTGGAAAATATACTGCCATGGGTAAAAGAATGTGTATCTATGGAAAGAAATGGAAACAGCAGAGGAAGTAAGAGTCAGTTTAGGAATTAGAGAGATAAACAGGTTGAGGTAAAGTTTTGTTGTTTTTAAATATTGGGGTGGTTTGTGCATATTGGTAAGCAAATAGTAATAATTCATTTTAAAACATGAAAAATGGAGACAAATAATTGATCTTGAAAGAAATAGGAGAAACAGTCTAGAGTATAAGTAGTAGAATTGGCTTTGAAAAGGAGAGGATGCTTCTCACATAAAAGCAAAGGGGAGATTGGTGAGAGATTTTTGACATGAAGATAAGAGAAGAGGAGCAAACTCACACTTGTGTCCCTCAAATTTTTTTAGGACATGGGAATTCTTGTGGACTTTTATTATTAGATTTTCTGATTAACTCTTCCTAGTTAATAGTAGACTGAGATACTGAAATTACAAGTTCTGAACTGTATGCATTGTTTTCAAAGAACAAGAAACTCATTTTCATTTTTCCAACAAACACTGTATCTACATGCTTTATGTATAGTATTGTAGATTCCTTAACAAAGTAAGTATTAAACTGGGTGGAGCTTTTGATGATAATGATCATTCTAATAAAATAGAATTGAGCAAATACAAGGAAATTACTTCTAATTTGTGAAACTAAATTTGTGAGAAGGATTTAATAAAGACTAATTTCCTTAGAGTATCTTTAATGGTATCATTTATAAAATAACACACTTTTAAGGACATTTTAAGACTTTGCGCAATTTCCACTTTAGTAAAAACCAGATGCAGCTCATATAAAGCTGACCTGTTCAATTCATATGTGTTAAATAGCAACCTCTTTTCCAAATTCTCAGTTCTTTTAGAACTGAGGTGATATGAATCTCTCCATTTCAGTGGGTGTGGTTGTATTTTAACCTTCTTTTAGAGATTTTTATCATTATGGATTTGTAACTCATATTATACCATGCAGTTTTTCATACCTTTTATCAAAAAATACATTTTACAATTAATTGAACATCAGATGACAGATTTGCCCATAAGAGGGCGACTTCACATTTGCTTAAACTTCAGCACGTCTTGGTTTCTTAGTGAAAATGTCAAGAATTTTGATTTTGTGAGGGACTCACATAAGGAAAAATAGAAAAATTCTACCTTAATAGGAAGTTTCCAAGATGTAGCCCATCTAAGGGGGAGGAATATTTTCAGTTAGACAGGACTAAGTTTAGATCCTGTGTCTCCACCTAGTACCTCAGTGCCCCAGGACACATTTTTCGTTCTTTGCAAGACTATGTCAAATGGGAATAATAATGCTGCCTCCTTCATGGGAATCTAAGAAGATAGTGCCTATAAAGCACATCACACAAGGTCCAACACATAACAAGCACATAGGAAATGCTGGCCCTATGACTAGTCCTAGGCAGTAGCAAGAGGGCATATAATGGAAGGGACAAGATCTGGGAGGAAAAGGAAGAGATATTTTAACTGAAATTTATAGCACTACAGGAGCATGTAGGCTAAGAATTGCGAATGGCTTTTGATGAAGCCAGAGCTCCGTCTGAGGAGGTTGAACTGACTGTGGTAGGAAAAAGAGAAATTATCCAATTCTTCCAGGGTTTTTACGCATATGTGTTTTTGCTTAAGCTTTCTTCCTGCCTATGTTTACACAAACCACATGTAAATCTCTTGCTGTAAGACCAGAGCCATAGGACGTGTATTCATATTTACACTTATTTGCCTTGTAAAATAGAAGTATGTTTTTTTATATCCGGTTAATTTATCTTTTAACTGAAAGTTTCTCTCTCTCGCCCACCCCCTCCTCCATAAATTCCTGACATCTAGGTCTTGTAAGCATTATACATGTGCTAACCTTTCCGTTCACCTTTGTGAAACATGTAATTTTTTGAATTTGGAAAAAAGGCTTAATCGATTATTTAAGAAGAGAATCCACTTTTCTCTTCAAATGTATTGACTTGTACACAGTTTTGGCTCTTCGAGTGTGGTTCTGAGCACTGTTTACTTGACTTTGAGTTTCCGTGTAGAACTCAGGTCCCAGAACTTGACACTGATTGAGACTGCAAAATGTCTAACAGGCTGCTTCAGATGTGCATCAGAATGCACTGCTGTTATGCTCTTGAAACCTACAGCTGTGCTGTGACCCAGGCTGAACTTGAACACTGATGTGGAAAACAAAACTCACCTGTGCAGGTGGGCTGGCTTCTTGTGGTTCATTCACAGATCTCACTGGTTGGCCTTTCATCTGTACATAGCAGTTTTCATCTATTGGTTCTTGGGAGTTGAAAAAATCATGATTCACAGTGGAAAAACAAAACAAAAAAAACGCTGGCACAAATAAAAATGTGTGAGCCAAACAACATTTAGCTGTAAGTGTGAAATCCAAAAGGATTATTTGGCTAGTCTTTTTCATGGAGATGCAAAGAGGTAAGAAAGCACTAACTGTTCTCTGCAAATCAGATGGTAGAGAAGTCTTTTGCCCATAGCATTAACGATGACAAAAGGAGGTCATTTGGGATAAGGACTAGATCATGTGCATTTTTTTTAATACCACTGGAGGACATTGCAGTCTCAACTTAAACTACTATTTAGATGCTGTAGAGAGTCCATGAGGTAAAGGATTGCCTGTGTTCTCTTCTATTTCCGTATGATTGCATATGGTGCAAGGTGGCATAAAGCGCAGAGCACATATATTGATGATTACAATTTGACAATTTTTTTTGTGTGTGTGTGAGTAAGAAGTTTTACTTAGAGGAATTCTGAACCCTACATCTTTTTTTTTTTTTTAACTGAGCCATCCTGCCACCTGTTGGCAGCTCAGCAGCTGCTCAGCTTGGGCCAGGCATCAAACCGCTGTTGCTCAGAGCTCATACTCTTGAGCGAGCTTTTAACCAACTGAGCCACTTGGCCGGCCCGTTACATCTTATTTTTGAAAAAAGGGGTTTAGATTATGATTTTTATCCCATAAATCAGTGACAGGAGAGTTCAGCCAGGCTGTCCGGAGGGCCTGGCACTGTATAAATATTTGTCCTAATTACTTGGAGTTTTTGTGTAGTATCCAACAGCCAGCAGACCTGCACCCATTTCATTCTGTGGGGATATGCTTATGGAATCATTTATACCTTTCTTCCCCCAGATACACCTATTTAAAAGGGAGAGGAAAGACAGTTAATGACTGGTGAGATGGCCAGTAACCTGGCCAAAATGTGGATTGCATCAATTTGACCCCATAGAAAAGATATCTTTACTATAATACAAGGTACCTCATAATTATTCAGCCCTTTCTGAAAAACATTGCAAAAGAAAGGGTTCATAGAGTGATATTCATCTAAGCATGGTCCATGGGAAACATGCATTAGAATCACCTGGGAGGTTTGTTCAATAACCGATCCCTCGGCTCTACCCTGGACCTACTAAATCAGAACCGTGGGAGTGACTCCTGTGCTCACTGAGATATGGAAATTATAGACATGTTGGGCCACCAGAATACATAAGAAATTAAGTCCTCAATATTATAGGCAGGTACCTTGATTCTGCAAGGTGAAACAGGTAGGGAAATTAATTATAATAGTTCATTCTTGAAAAAACAGTTTCTGATTCCTCAGAGTGCAGAGATAGAGGACACTTTACAATGGAAAAAAGACAAAAATTAAATAAATTCTTGAACCCTATAAAATTCTCAGATTCCTAACTTTAGGAGAATTTCACATTGTTTGATATATAGAGATTCAGATAAATTTAGTCCATTCCTGGGGATCTTGTTTGAGACTCAGAGGTGAATAGGAGTTAACCTCCAATTCTACTGTCATAAATTAAGTGAAGTGTTTGCAGGGCAAGGATGGGATTAAATGCTAGCATTACCCTCATGGTTTTTCTCATCAGAGCTGTGGGATCAGATCACAGTTGTCTGTTTTGAGGAATTTGGAGTGTATTGTTTTGGGGTGGTTGGAATGTTTAAAGTAACAAAGGATGCTGGGAATTGAAGAGCACTTGTTACATAAGAATGAAAATGTATAACCCACTCAGTAATGATTTAGTTCTTCTCTTTCCCCACTTGCCATCAATGTATCCCTAGGTTCCCTACTTACAAAGAACAAGCTAAAACAAGGGAAACCAGAAAAATGTGTGTAGTGTTCCTGATATTTCACTGTAGATTTGCTTTTGTATACAGCACACAAAGCACTGTTTCCCTGAGCCATTTTCTGTTCTAGAAATAGCTTAATTTCATAGAATTCTGTGGTAATAAAGTCTTCCTGTATTCTCATTACTACCAGAGTAAAATAAAGAGAATATAGAAAACAGGATGTTAATTACTGAATGTGGCAATACAATTTACAATATGCAGCTTTGGACATTTTTACCAAATAATATGCTAAACATACTAGAATTTATGGTTATTATTGGGATATTTAAATGTGATTGTAACAAAAAAATAATAAGCCACCTCAAATTCTTTGTGGAATTTAGTGGGAGGTACTCATTTATAGGTAAATTAATTTTTGGAAAAATAAACTTACCTGGGACGACATTATTTAAGTTACCATAAATTGGTGTGTCTTCAATATAATACTCATCCTCCCTATAATAAGGAAAAATAATTTACTTTATTAGAATCCACTTTATACTTAGTTCTTAACTACAATATTTTCTTAGCTAAATTCAATATTAGGTAAACTATTGTTCTTGTTCTGGTTTGGCCAACCTGAATACATATGCTTATGTGCGAATAAGTAAGTGAATACAAGTGTGTAAGCATGCATATATGCGTGTGTGTGCTACATTTGAAAAGTTGTTTTGTGGACCTTCTTTTAGGGAACAATGATAGCAAATATTTTTTTTAGCAGTTACTGTCAGATGGTACCTGAATTGCATTTTATATATTCATCCATTTAATTCTCACAACAATCTGACCAGATAAGTACTATAGCATTCTTATTTTTAAAGGCAAGAAATCTGAGGCACAGAGAGGTCAGGTATTTACTGAAGGTCACAGAAGCAGTACATGGCAGAGCTGGGATTAGAACCTAGGTTATCGGTGCTCTTAACTATACCTTGTACTGCCTATTTATTTGCCCAGAAAATGACTGCAAACATTCCTTTAAAGCTATGTTAAGTAAGTAAATTTTAATTACTAGGGATGTTTAACAATAAAAGGCCAAAGAAATGTTGTAGACTCAGTGTGGCAGATGCCATAAAATGACTGATCACTGATTACATCCAGATGCTGTGCTGTTTTACATACATTACATCAAAGACCCAGAGAAATTCTCCCAAAATACTATTATTATTTCCCACTTTACAGGTGAGAAGTTTGAGATCCAAATAGATTAACATATTTTCCCTAACCTTATAAGTAATATCAGCAATAACTACCAGTCATGAAAGTTTTTCTTTATAGCTGTGCTCATTTAACCCTCAGATGTATTTTGTTTTTATCCCGCTGTAACTGGCAGTGTAAGGATTGTAATGCAGTTCTGGTCTTAGAGCCCTGAATTCTATTTACTCTTGATTTTTCACTGTTTCATTACAGCCTCATCTGAATAATCCTATTAGGATTACAGCAGACATCCCACCATAGTCTTCAGGTAGTACAGATGGCCCTGGTGACCAGCTTTCACAGTAATAGTCTGAGAACAGACGGCCATATCAGGCAGTGAGAGTGGCATTTCTTAAAAGAGTAGCAACTGCTTTAACTTTGAGATTACATATCACCTAGAGCTGGAGGGAGTTGCATCAAAAGAAAAACGAACTCTATGTCAAGACATAACACCTATATTATTGCCCATGCTTCTGAAGGAAGACACAGTATATGTAAATATTAAGTAGCTGTCCTTAAAAAAACAGTAGCAGATCAAATGATAGCAGTATTAAATGGTTTCAAAATTTCAGATGCTGGCATGTGTTTTGCTTATCTTATAACAAAGGAACTCATTCATAACCTCTCTTTCCATAGGTAATTCAATACAGCTTAATATTGGGATATGGAGGGGTCCACGCCCATGGTTTTTCTCTGGCTATGCAGAGAATATAATAGCAAAAAGTGAAGAATTTTTAATAAGACAATCCATCCATTTTCCTAGCCCACATAGAGAGCAGATACAACCTGCAAATGATAAATCATGTGTAAAAACTGAACATCATTTCATTCCTTATGAATGAAAATAAGATGTGATTTATAATACAGTACCCTGTGTCTACAGGCAGGTCTCAAATGATTAATTATCTCAAATAAACTATTATTCAGGAGCAGTTGCCTAACCAATAAATTAAAAAAAGCATATATATATATATATATATATATATATATATATATATAACTTATCAATGCCAAATAGCTCCAACCTATTCAAAATATCTAATAAGCCTCAAGCCCAAATGCTTGGCAGTGTTTCATGTGGAAGATTAATTACTATTAATAATAAATTAATAAATAAGCCCATATCCCAGAGGCCAGTTCATTTCTTAGTTTGGGGCCAAATCAGATCCTCCATTGCTCTGAACATATCTACAATGGTCCTCTAACCAATAAGTACATTTAATGACACTCCAAAATTTAAGGTAATATTGTCTTTTACTAGTAGGATCCAACTTTTCTACTTTCACATATACTTTCTCTAGTTTCCATTTTTAAAGTCTTTATTTATATTTTATATTATTGTTAAGATCTTTTTAGAAAAAAATGCCTTAATATTTTATTAACTAAATAGATTAAATAATTAAATTCAATTTATAAAAAAACCCACATTATTTCTGCCTGGGTTACCTTCGACATAAACTTTGAGTTTCAATTTTCTTATTTATAAATCAGGGATATTAAACTATTTAATCCCTATTGTTCTTTTCAATTTCCTAACTCTATAGTATAAATGTAAGGTTCCAATATCCAAATAAAAATAAAAGATATTTCTACAATACTAAACAAAGCTCTTTAGATATTTCTACAATACTAAACAAAGCTCTTTAGATATTTCTACAATACTAAACAAAGCTCTTTAAAAGCTCTTTTAAACAAGCTTACAGCCTATCAGAAGTTGGTTTTGGTGAGTGTTAACTTGATTTGCTTAATAGACACTTATTTGAATAGGCAGATACATGTTTGAGCTCCATGAATGTATAAATGCTATTTAAAGCCATGAGAGAGAATGAAATTACATATGAAATGAGTATCATTGATAGAGAAGAGGTTCACTAGATGAGCCCTCGGCACGGGCACTCTGATGTCTAAGATTGAGGAACGAGCAAAGGAAAAGGAGCTGCTGGTATGTCAGAAGGAAACCCAAGACAGGGTGGCCCAGAGCCCAGAGAAGCAAGTGTTTTGTCTGAAGAAGTAGCAAATATCAATGTATCAAATGCTATAGGTGGACCGCATACAATGAGACCAAGATTTGGTTGGCCACGTGGATTTTATTAGTGACTTTTTTTTTAAATTAAAGTTTATTGGGGTGACAATTGCTAGCAAAGTTACATAGGTTTCTTTGACAACAGTTGAGTTAGATTATCAAGGACAGATGATTGAATAGTATAGGTTTGAAAAAAAAGAGAAGAAGAAGAAACTACTAAATACAGACAGAATGTAGATGAAATTTTCAAGCAACAGAGAGGTAGCTGTAGGCAATTCAGTATGAAGGGGGCTTTTTTTTAAAGTATGGAACAATACTGTCTGTTTACATATTGATGGGAATGATACAAAAGGGACAGAAAAAGCAATGATGCACAGAGAAAATACTAAGTTGCGTGAGCGATGCATTCTGGAATATATGCTCACTGCATTTTTGCTTTCTTTGGTGAGGAAGGTGCCATACGTGTAGGTATCATGAACTTGGGGTGAGACGACAACATAGTTAGGCTGCTGGTCCAGGGAGAGAGTATAAATCTAGTCCATGTTTTGTATGGCTCTGGTTAGTATGGCTAGGGTTCACTAAGAACCAATAGTGTTCCCTATAAGCGGGATGGTTAGGGACTCACAGAGCAATGACATCTAACACTAAATTTTTATCTTTTTGATCTGTGCTCAAATTCCCTTCTAATGTGCCACTTCTTTGTAGAGTTTATTAAACACAGGAGCTATGTTGCCAGTGCTTTGGAGCACTTCAAAAGAAGGATCTTTTGCCAAAATGTGGAGGAAAGAAAGCTGGAAAGATGTGCCTGAATGAAGAAGTCTAAAGAGATGGGGGAAAAAAATCTTAGATCCATGGCAAAGAGCTACGGATCACAAAAAGGCAACCAAGAATAAGGTTTTTGGAACCATAAGCACTTGTCAGGGATTCCTAGAAATACTTAGGGAGGGACTAGACTTCTTGCAGTCACATAAGGTTGGAGCTTGTGCTATGGTTATTCTTACATTAAAACAAATAAACTTGGAGGTCTTTTGGTTACAAGAGCGGCAGTGATCACAGGGAGGGCCTCAGCTATGTATCTACTTGGAAGTCTGAAATGTCAGAAAGGCTATCCAGGAGTTCTGTTGCCATAAAAGTCCTCAACTCTGAGAACAGGTGAAGAGAACAGTGGAGACTGAAGGTGTGCTCCATAGCACTAGAATAGTATATTTAGCAAAGAGAGGAAATGAAAGGGAATCCCTGCCCTGTAGAGCTCCAGAGACCCAATAAATCACCTGAAGATAGGAAAACAGCTGAGATGAGACATGCTTTGTGATAAAAGCACCTTTCAGTGCCACCCAGAGGCAGACCATGCAAAAGCTGCTGGGAATCTGACCGAAGTATTTGAGAGAGGCTCTGAAACTGAGGGGTCATTATAAGCTTAAAGTAATTGTCATACTCAAATGCTTTCTTAAATTAGAGGGTGAATATACTGCACATGGTTAGGAATTTTCTTAGGCCTTAATTTTCATGCAATCAAGCAACATTTTGTTTTTATTGACTACCCTTTGTAAAGAAAGTGTCTATATTTTCAGAGGATAAAACTGAAGTTCACCAATGCTCATTTTCCCGAGACTACAAATCTAGTAATTACAAGAGTTTAATTAAAATCCAGAATTTTCTGTATCTCAAATCCATGATATTCCCCAAAATGATATTTTAATAATACAGATCAGAAGCTAAGAATTGTGTAGGACTATGTTTTAAAGGAAAAATAAAGTGACTCGGGAAAAATACCAAGAAGTGTGTATCTGACTTTCTGTTAAACATAGACGCTGCACTGTCCTTAGTGTGACCATGTTCCTGACCTACTAGTGCAGGAAGGGCAGGGAGTTGGGGAAGCAGAAAGATGAGATCAGAGAAGCACATTTCTTTTCCCTCCAGCATAGCTTCCCATCTAAGCCAGTGTTGAGTAGGGGCAGGGAGAGGGTGCAGTGGGGAACCCTAGTCTCAAACCATTTCAGCACTGTAGAGGCATCAGTAATTCTAGCCATACTTAAGAAAGGTCGTCCTTATTTCCACTTGCTATTTTAATGTTTAAGTTTTAATGGCTGAAGATAGTTTAATGTTTATCTGTTTTTCCTGAGGCCTCTATGCCTCTCCTACAAAAATTATTTTTGACTCCCAAACTACATAATCAGAAATAGATAAGCTGTGAGTATATACATAAATATGTGAATTAACATGCCAACCGCACTGTTGTGTACACCTGAAACTAATAATAAAAAATAAGATAAAATAAAATAAAATAAAACAAATTAATAAAAAACATGCCAACCACTTTTTATAGATAAAATCTGCATTTTATATTCAATTTTTGCCTAAATGGAGATTTATTATAATAGACTATTAAACCCTTGAGGGAAGGATCTTCATCTTTCCATCTTTGTATCTGTATTGTCTAGCACAGTTCTTAATTTGCTGAATGAATAATTATTGGATGAATGAATATCAAGGAACCAGCCTCTTTTCTGCATTTGCCTTACAGCTAAGAGCCTGCTTGCTTTGAGATGGGTATTATACCAATTTTCCCTTCTGATTTTTACCATCCTCATCCAAAAACTACCAACCCAGTCTTTAGCAGAATGATCAAATCACAAGACTTTCTATCATATTGCATCTTAATTTGCCTTTCAAATGACAAGCATCAAACCAATTGTCAGATTAACTTCTGCATGGTTATATAGTGTTTCCTTTGTCACACTGGTGTAACAAATGAGCAAATTACTCTTGATTTGAGCTAATGACTTGAAAATTATCTCATGTTATAGAATCCAATATTAAGAGTAGTCATAAAAATAAAGGTGTGTGTGTGTGTGTGTGTGTGTGTGTGTGTGTGTGTGTGTGTGTGTGTGTCTGCCTTCACTCAGATCCTAAATCTGCCAGAGATATTTCCACATGGAAAAGAAAAAAAAAAAAGACCGTTTAGAGGCCAACAAAAACTTATAATCTTATCCTACCCAGTGAGAAAGCTCTGAGTTTTTGAAAGGCCTTTCAGCCTTTCAGTCTGTCATTTCAGAGATGTCTTGAAGAGTCTTCTAGGAAATTTTCTATATTTACATTGTTTTTTTATCCCTAAAGAAAATTCTCCAATCTGATGATACACTTGGGTCAGTATATACTGTCTAAGAAAATGAAACTTTTTTACTATGACTCACAACTTAAATCTTCTGGGGTTTTGTTTGTTTGTTTGTCTTTGTATCATACTATACAATGTCTCTGCAACTAGCTCAGTAAGTGTTAAAGAGAATAAATTATATCTATAGCCACATATTATTTTAAAGTTCATTTATCACATTCCCTAGTGATTGACATTACCCTTAAAAACAGCATACCACGAAGCATCCTTATCTATGTAGATGTGTAAACATATCTCAAACTTTATTAGGCATTGCCAGATTTCTTTCACCCTGGATTCTTAAGGGCCACACAATTCTATATATAGACTGCATTCTTACAACCTTATCTGAATCATAATCTAGGATATATCCTCCAGAAATTGATGAGAACTCTGTAGATAAAAGGTTAGGGTCTCATTCTGTCCATCACCCAGCTCTCTCATTGGCTCAGAATGAATAAGCAACTAGGGAAGATAATAATGCTATAGCTTTTAATGTGCAGATGAGAGTAAAAGTAATTAAAACTAAGTTTTCATTTTATTTTTACCCAAATACAACATCCCTGAGCCAAACCTATAAGCAACATAGCATTTGTTACCTTCCCTTATTAGTTGGGTATCACAATACATAATTAATTTTCTACATACCTTGGAAAGTAGTCATCAGGGTATCTGCATATTTTATCTGAAAGATATTCAAAATAGGCAAATTAAAAGAAATTTTGACATACATTTGTTAAATCTTCTAGAGAATGTTGAGGGGAACTTAGCCTCCATGACAGTTAACATCTTTAATCAAGCCACTCCACCACCACTGTTTGAACTGGAGATAAAGATCTTCTCTGATTTAGGCCAATCATAATCCATATTCTTTCTTAGTAATTTGGGATGGAATCACAGCACAACCTGAAAGTGATGGAGAGCCCAGATGTGTGGCCATTTTATGGAGGGGAGACACCAAGCCAAGAACGCTGGAACCGCTGTCCCTGTCTGCCCTGGGGTCCCAGTTCACTGTGGAACAAGGCTGTACTTTCTGCCTTGGGTTCCACGAAGCACCTCTGACAAATTTCCCTTTTTGCTCTTGCTGGTTTGAATAGGCTTTTCTTTCTTAAAACCACCACCCTCCCCCAAATCCCTAGAAGACACTATCTTCATTTTATATGACAGAAAAGTTTATACTCAGGCCATTAATTATTTTTCAAGTTTGCCTGGCATTAAAGTGCATGTACAAGGATTTAGTCAAACAATAGCCTGATATATCATGGAACAAATTCAGGGTGAGAAATCGGAAGACATTGCATTGGGTAGCAGCTCTCCAATGCATTTGCCATATGGCAACATGTAAATCACTTTAAAACTCTGATTTTCAGTTCATCCATAAAGTAAAGATAATAATGCCTATATCATGTGAGTAGATGTGGAAGATAAATGAAATAATTTTTGTAAAGACATTTTAGAAAATGATCAAGTTGATTTTCAAATTATAAATTGAGTGTTAAATTGAAAGAAAGGAGAAAAAAATAAAGAATTTGAAAAGGAAAATAGAGTGACATTATTTAAATAGAATAAGAAAAACATTGGTATGGAGTAAAAATATTTCTCCAAACAGACTAATGTTTTTAAAAGATAATGTGGATTTTCCAATTGGAGGTTCTTAGAGTATAAATGCCGGTGCCTGGCAAATATACTAATATAATGTGTAAACAGAAAGCTCTATAGAAATAAAATGTAGTTGGATGTGTTATCACCAGAGAAAAGCAAAAAAAAAAAAAAAAAGGTTTTTAGACCAAAAAGCTTTATAGGAGAAAGGAAGTAGAAGCGATTACATAAAGGATATAATATGATAATGTGATGCTTGAGTAGAAGAAAAGAGAACTAAAATAATGTGAAGAAGAAAATAAGTAACAGGTGAAAAACATATGGCAAGACCAACTATATTGAAGAAGCACCCTGAAAGGAGATTAAAAAATAATATTTGAAGGACACCACCACATCTCACGCTGCTCTTGCAATTTAAATGTCTAATCTTGAAGTAGATGCTCAGTACTTTGTGTGGTTTTAGTCTTACAATACTAACTACAAGAAGTTGTGATAGAATATGATCTCCTTAAAAAGGGGAGTAGTAATCAAAAGTCTAGTGATTACAGCTAAGAAGATAGGTCAGCAAACTCAGACTCCTGAAAAAAGCTTGCTCTGGCACGAGGACTTACTTGTAAGTTTATTTAAAAATAAATGAAATGATTTAAAAGCTACCTAATCATTTCAAAGATATTAAAACAAAAAGCAGTTTTTATTTTGCTATAAAGCAGTTACATTTGCAAGACTCTGTGTGAGAAGAGCTGGTAAGTTTTTATAATCCTCTCCTGTGATTCAGATACCAACATTTGTGGTCAGGTTTATGGCTGAGAGGATGTGAACAAACATTTGCTTTTATATTTTTCCCTTTATAGTGTTCATCCTTCCATGCACAATACATAACAACAAGGAACAACAGCACAGAGTCAAAACTCCATCATAAAAAATTTTTGATGCGTTTTAATGTGAAAATTGTGCCATAATTTTTCAGTGAATTGGAGGTATACTAATAGTGCTTTGATGTATGAGCAAACCATACATTTGTTTATCCTTCTTCTCAAAACAGAGAAGAAAGGCTGGATAAAGAATATTTTTTGGCTTTCAAGAAGGAAAAAAGCTAATGCAATTCTATAAGAAAAAAGAAATAAATATAATCCTCTTAAAGAACAGATTTGGATAAAGAATCACATAAAAATGAAAGATTTATTTTGGGAGGAAGAACTCCATTTCAAAGCTTCTATCTCGCACTGCTACAGAAAACTTCAAGAAGAGGCTTATCTTGTCTATCTGATTGAATGTGTAGATACTGTACTGTTGCTAGGATAGAGACTGTCTTTTGTAAGCTATTGAATACATCAGCAAAACTTACTGACTGTTTGCAAGTTTCATAGCAACAAAGAACAGCACAAAGATGCAAAAATAAAAAGTTACATGAGGCCATTACAGGGTCATTACATTCCCAGACCAAATGGCAAAAACGCTGGCTAATGTTTGATGGAATATCTTCTAGTCTGTCTGTCTAGGAGAAACAAAGCGGCAGAAATTTGCAAGAGGACTGGAAAGGAGTCAATTTGCAGAGCTAATCCCAAATCCACCCAGAATTTTTGGGTGAGAAAGAAAGATTATGCTATTTGCTCAAATGTAACAGAATGGAAGGCAGTTATTAGTAATACTTGGGAAAAGGTGTCAGGAGAAGTTGTGGCAGTTGGGCAGGGACTGCAGAAATAAAAAAGGGAGGTGGGATGAGAATGAGGGCATTCTTTTGGCATCAATAAACATTGCTCCAAGGCTAATCTTCATTTTGCACGCTAATAAAGTGCAAGACTCAGAGTTTATGCTCCACCTAAAGAGGACACATGACTGCTGAAATAAAATAATTTTCAGTAGGCTAATGTTTAGAATCAATTCTATGAAAGCCTACAGAAAACTCTCTAAAATGAACCTTATGTGATTTAAATGAACATGACAGTTATTGCTAACACTCAGGTAATTGTACAGACGTGTTAAATAATATAGAGATGGGGGCAAGAATTGTGATGGGAGCTAAAGAGGACTAGAGAGTATAGGCATGGTGGCAGTGGTCAAGAAGCCAGGGGAACTAATGTTCACTGAAATAACAGACATTAAAATTAAATGGGATAACATGTAGCCATTGTTAAGTCCTTAAAAATTTGTTTGTGGAATGAAGAAAGGAAGCACCAGGGCCACCAAGAATGGTGATGTGGGCTCGATCCAGCCCAGGAACAACATACTCAGACCCTAGCACTGTGATGAGGGTACAGTAGTTCCCCCTTTATCCAGGGCTTTGCTTTCCGTGGTTTTGGTTGCCCACAGTCAACTGTGGTTCAATAGTATTAAATAGAATATTACAAAACCAAACAATTTATAAGTTTTAAATTGCACACTGTTCTAAGTAACATGATATAATTGCAAGCTGTCCTGCGATGTCCCACTGGATCATTAATCGTCCCTCTGTCCAGTGTATGCATAGTGGACACGCTTTCCTCCACTCGTTCGTCACTTAGTAGCCATCTCTGTTATCAGATCCACTCTTGTGGTATCACAGTGCTTGTGTTCAAGTGACCCTTATTTTATCGTACCTGTTTTATTATTAGTTATTGTTGTTAATCTCTTACTGTGCCTAATACATAAATTAAACTTTATCATAGGTACATATAGGAAAAAAACATAGCATACATATATATATATATATATATATGATTGGGTACTATCCACAGTTTCAGGCATCCACTAAGGTCTTGGAACACATCCCCCGTGGATAAGGGGGGGCTACAGTTTCTATATAATTCTCACAAGAACCCTACAGTCTAGATGATATTTTGTAGCTAAAGAAACTGAAACTCAGAGAACTTATACTACTTTTATAAGATCTCCCAGGTAAATGTTGAAAGCAGAGTTGTGATTCAACATCATGTTGACTTAAAAAACCATGATGTTAAAAAACATTGAGGGAACTGAAACTGATTTTAAAAAACACATCAATGAATTTAATTTACTATTTCCTGTTTTTTTATTATTATTATTTTTTTGTTAAATGTTATTTCCCATTATACTGCTTTTAGGAAAAGACAAAAAGAAATCTGTCTTCAAAAAAAAATTTAAAAGCCTGCTTTTTTTTTTTTTTTTTTTTAGTTAAATTTCAGTCTTTTAGCAGTGATCTAACCATTATAAACAAACTCCCGAAAGGAGCTAGTATGGTGGCAAAATGATACGGATGTGACTGTATAAATTTCAATGTACAAATTATCAAAAATGAGAATTGAAAAACCCACTGGTTCCCTGGCCCCACACATGCCTCAGAGGATTCGCACTGGAATCAGTGGAAGAGTGACGTACTAGTTCAGATGCTTATTTTTGTCCTGGTTGCCACCTTAAATTATTTCATCTCTATAGCTCTCAATTCACCTTTTTCATTTCAGGTGAAAATATTATCTGCATTCATAAAATATTTTAATAAAAAATTAAAATATATGCATTTTAAGCTATTATATAAAGAAAAGTGGTAGTCTTAGCTCATTTTTTTTTAATCAAAGGAAGCTTTTTTAGAATATGTCTGATGATAGGTCATTTGTACATCTGACACAAACTTTATTTGAAAAATATTCTATTTGAGAGTAATTACTGAAATTATTGCTAAAAAAAAGTGTTGCCTGCCTGGAATTTCATCTTAAGCATAGAAATTATATAATAGAGAGCCTAAAAGAGTATTGGGATTCTGGATGAGGATATTTGGTCAACAATGCAAAAGCAGCATGTACTGGTAGAAATTGTTTTGGACAGAGAATTAGAAAAACTGAGCACTTACCCTTGATTTTGCTATTAAATTGATGTGTGACCTCAGCTATATCATTTCATTTTCTAGTGCTTCTCATTTTTCTCATACAGCATGACAATAATGCCTTCTTCTTCATATTTTACATTATCATTATAAACATTTAAGAAGATACTCCTAAGAGAATTAAGGACTCTCCCCAGAATCTGACCATTGTTATAAATTAGCTTCATGCATTTTTTCTTGGTCACATGTGTCTAACTTAATTTTGCTAACTTCATTTTATTTATTTTCATCTGTTAAAAGAAAATGTATTTATTTTTTATTTTCTGTTCATTGATCACCACTTAAATGTCTGGCCTCCAACAATTTGCTCGTTCTAGAATATTAAGACCCCCCTTCCCCAAGTAATTGAACTTTCATTTTTCCATCCATCCATCCATCCATCCATCCACCCATCCATGTATTCACAATACATATATTGAATGTTTACATTGTGCAAAGATTGTGCCAGTTGCTGGGCATTACACATCATGCACGTGTGTGTGAAATTCATTAGGTTAAAACTGCTGCCCAGCTTGTGGAAGGAAAAGTTATTAACAGTGGCAGGTCCCCTTGACCTGCCATTCTAGACCAGAGGAGTGTCTGAAAATAAGCTCATGGTTCAGTCTATTGCTTTTCCAGTTCCCTTCTTATCCCTACCCTGCCTACCCAAATTTAGACACCCTGATAGAAGCAGAGAAGTTTTAGTAAGCTTCAGTGGAATCTTAAAGAGCTGGTTTTCAATTTTTCTCATCACAAATCACAGAGAACCATTATGCCTGCTCCAGAATAGACTAATTTCATAGGTTGTTCAATTGGAGGAGGAACCATACATTTACTAGGATATTCCCTTTCACTCTATACCTTAAGGCAGAGATGAAGCTAAGATTGGGAGTCTGTTTACATTTCTAATACAATTACATTCTTAAATTAAGAGAATATTCAGGGTGAAAAAAATGTATCAAATAAATTTTCTACAGATAAAAATATCCTGTTGGATAACATGTTATAAAATTGTCTTTTTCTGTAGGTTTTCCAGTTACTCAGTTTCCATTAAAGAAGGTGCCATATGACTATTTCTCAAAATGTCTTACCTTGTCGTTTTTTTTCCACATAGTGGGAAATATTGAAGATCATCGATATAACCAGAGCTAACACCAAGGAGGCTAGAATTGCCCAGACATACACATGGCATTCAAAGTTTCCTGTAAACAAAAACAAACATGGCCTTAATATAGTAGCTGCTTACCTATTCATTTTAAACTGGGTATTCCCACAATTTAAACCATTGCATTTATTAACAGTGAAGGACAAATCCTCTGCCAAGAGATTAATTAACATTGGAAGCCAAAGGCTTCTTACAGATTTCAAAATGGGTATTGGTGAAATTCCCGCATTCAGCATGGGCAAAAGGAAGCGGTTTCTCACATGCTTAGTGTTAATGACATGGAAGACATTTTTAACCTAGCTACCAAAATTTGACAACTGGTGGCTGATTATACAAACTTTAATTCAAAATCAAGAATATTCAAATTACCCAGAGTCATACTTCGCTATGCTTTTCCCTTTTCTTTAACCCTCAGACTATAATCACACTTGCTTTCATTATTTACAGAAAACCACTTATTCCCTTCTCTAATCCCAATAGTATAGGATACTGTGTATTAGGATAAAACAATAATTCTGGAATCATAGTAACCCAGTTTTGTCAAACTTGCCATAAGGAGCTTATTTCGTACTATTTAGAGCTCCATGAATGGATAGTAGAGAATTGATTATGCCTCTTTCTCCTCTGAGAAAGTCTTTTTTCATTCCTGAGCCATAAAGGGAGTTCTGTGGGATATTTTTGTCTATGAGTTGCTCATAATTTTTATAGCACACTTTATACCTATATGAGAAACTACTATAATAATTAACTTGATTTTATATATGTATAATATATATTATACATAAAGTATATAATTTATTTTACATAAAAGTATTTATTTTATATATAATATATGAATATATGTATACATTATATATATTAACCTAACTTTATAATCAGTCTATTTATTATATAATTAGCCTTTATATAATAATATACATATTATATATTATATATACATGCATATATATAATTAAGTTAGTTATCTTAGTAGTCATATACCTGTGTGAATGCTGACCCCAGAAAAATAACTTATGATTCTATAATACTGTATATTTATATATTCAACCAGTATCGAATAGACATCTCTTCTGTGCCAGGAACTGTGCCCTCTATACGGAATCAAAGATAAAGAGAACAGCATCTTTGCCCTCAAGGGGCTCTTCGTTTAGTTCAGGACATGGATGTATAAACACATACTTAGAAATGCAAGAAGTGCAATATGTAAACAGCTACAGAGATCGTGTTCCTTCACTGTCCCAATTTCTCTCTGTCTGACTGCTCAGAATCAAAGATCATTTTAGGCCCTTTCAAAGAAATCCAAATACCTCAGCTTAAACACAGTAAACAGAACAGGCAAACCTTAATAAGAGGGAAATTAGTTTTGTTTCCCTAATCTGTCTTTAAATCATCCAATAAAGAATACCTACACTCAAATGTTCTTTGTGCTGCTCTATTTTATTTATTTTCAGTATTTAAAATTTGACATTTGAATTGTTAATTATTTCCTTTAAATACTTGTTGACATCGCAGCTGTTATCCAACTGCCCTCAATGGTCCTGTGTATTAGTGGGTTTGATTTATTTATTGGCATCATTTAATTTTAAATGAGCATAGTTAGGCATATAGATAATTAAATATATAAAATGTACATATACGTATTTATGATATAGGTCTACATATACATATATGCATATAATTTGCATATCACTTTTTCATACATTGCTTTTGTTTGAGCAAGTCTTTGGCTCTTGTAACACCAGCAAATATCTACTAATGTTTCCTACCTTCTCTTTAATTTTTGTACCATGTTGTTTAGATGTTCAAAATACCATAAGCTCCTCAGAGAATAGGACCATTTCTGCCTTCTACTCTGGATTTCCAGACATATAGTTCATAACTTCTAAAAATTTTTCAATTAATTAATAAATGGGTAAAGTTCATTGATAATGGTAGGAAAATGTGAGGTTTTCCTTTCTTTGACATATACTTTATGTGTCTTAAAGTATAAGAGAAGAGTCTTGAACAGTCTTTTATTTTCTGCAATAAACCTACTGATTAATTGGGTTAAAAAACACTAGGGTTTGGAGGGGGCTAATTTATTATCATGAACATAATTATTTATGAGAATTCTACAACATAATATTTATTAACTATTTTAAGTATACTAATAATCCCAGGTATTGCATGATGTTGCATATATTCCTAGAATTATTTATTTGAAATTTATGCTTAATTATTTACTTTAAATAAAAACAAGTACTGCTGAGTGTAAAATTTAAAAATTCCAGCAATACTAAAACATAATGTAACATGTAAGGTTCTCTATTAAAACATAAATGGGACACTCATATTACACTAATTCACCCTTTTTAAAAAAATTACCAGTGTGTTGGGGGAATTTACCATGTTAGTATGTTAATTTTAGTGTTTGCATAGAATTCCACAGTATTTTCTGTAATATAATTCATCTACTCATTTCTCTAAGATGGACATCTTGATTTTTTTCAAATGTTTTTCTCTTACAAACAAAATGCAATAAACTCCATTGGTCAGATATTTCATGTGTAAGTGGGTTATTTGTAGAAGAGTTTCCTGGGAATAGAACTGCTGAGTCAAAGGGAATTTTTAAGGCAAGCTTTCAGAGAAAAATTGATCCCCAACCATTGATAATAACCCTTTTCAGGTGCAGGATTTAACTATAATTGTGGAAAATGGGACCAGCAAGCTGCCTCACTTGCCAGATGGGCCTCCATTACCCTCTTTATTGTCATAATACAGCAATTTTACAGAAATTTTCATTTATTTATGTTATTAAATTAATGATTAAACTAATGATTTATATTATTAAAGACTTTTTCTTTTCTTCTTCTTGTGTATGTCACTTAGGTACAGTTCTAAGTTCTTCCATATTTTAAAGCAATTTGAGGGCATACACTATATTTTCTATTGTGGTATATCACAACAATTATTTCAAGTTTATTCAGTCAGCCAAATATAGACTCTTATCACTCACCCTCTACAATCACTGTATTTGGTGACATTTAAATAAATAAACTTTAATTGCTACCAAGAATCCAGACTTATTATACACATCATCCACATTCAGTGTTAAAAAACAGTAAACTCAGATAAGCAAAAATATAAGAATCAACCACAATCCTATTATCAAGAGATAATCACTGTGAATACCTTGGATAATATACTTCCAAATTTATTATTCTTTGTGTGCAAATTGTTACAGATGGAGAATAGGAATCAATTATAGTGAATATACTGTTATCTACTTTCCCCCCAATAATTCCATGGTGTGTTTCTTTTTCTATAAACAAAATATGCTTCCATTTCTTTTAGATGCCCTATATTCCATTGTATATGTTTTCCATATTTTATTAAAACAATCCTTTATTATAAGACATTTAAGTTGCTCTAATTTTTAGTTATATAAATAATGTGATGAATATCTTTATCTAAAATTGTATACACACCTTAACATTTTTTTAGGTAAATATTCTTAAAAATGAAATTCTGTATCAAAGGATATACAAATTTTAAAAGATTTGATGGCCAAGGTTTTAAAACACTCTACTAAGCAGACCCTTCTCAGGTCAGTCTGGCCTATTTCTTATTAGTTCAGTTGGCCCTAATGTTGTATTTGTAGTTAACTCATGTATTTTTGTTTAATTTATGTATTTTTGGTTAATCCACACTATGTCAACTGCTACTCATGATCTAGCTACTATCCTTCCACATACTGTCTCCATATATTCCCCTCCTCTGTGATTTCTGGAGAGAGTTGTCTCTTTGTCTTCTTTCTGGAGCCCGTAACACAGGTCTTTCAGGAGAAGGTGCCTGCTCTGATCTCTTTGCTAAATATAGAGGGCATCACACTTTTCTTACTTAACTGAACTATTCCCACAAAATGCTACTTTAGGTTTTCTGCCTCTTTTAGGACTTATCTGCTATACCGCCCCCCTCCCCAATAACATACCATGTTCCAATCATTCTGAAGCACTTGTAATTTTCAATAGATATTATGCTTACCATTTCATGTCTTCATGTCTCTGCATATTTACCCCTTTGCCTGAAATTGCTTACTCCTTACCCATCTGATGAATTCCTACTCATTGTTCAAGACTACTTTCTCTTTAAAACATTAACTCAATGCTTCCTGTCCTCCCATCAAGTGACATCTAATATATCTCTTTACATTTCAACAAATATTGATGTAATCATTTATATATATCTCTCCTCAGTAGACTGTCAACTTCCCAAAGGACAGAAAGAATGTCATATTTATCTTCGTATTCATTCCTTACATAGGGATTAAGTGAATTAATACATGTAATGAGATTGTAAAATAGTGTTTCTCACTAATAAAATGATCAGAAATGTTAGCTATTGTTTTTCTTATTCTTATTCTTATTATCTTACTACTAGTAAGACTTCTACTATTGTCCTTGCAACCTACTCAGCATACAATAGGTACTCACTAAACATGTGTCAACTGACTAAATAAAGGAAAAGTGGAGTGAAGAAGGGTAATGTAATGACCATGGCCAAACAGAAAAGTTCTGATCAAGTATGAGGTCTACAAGCATCCACAACTCATTGAAGATTCTATTACATTTCTCTCTAGTACTATGAGAAAAGACCTGCCTTCCAGTGGCTGGGAAATAGATCCTGTGAGAAAAGAGTAACTCATTAGGCCACTGTGGCTTTGGTGAAAGTACTCATTAGCAACATCCTAATTCTCTCTGCCCTGAATCTACATTTGCCAAAAAACGTGCAGAGAATTAGTTTGTTTCCCATGAGACTTGATATAAGGAAGTTGGTGTTATTAGCTAGCTATCTGATTAGATTTATGGGAGGGTGGGGGTGGGGGGGTCACAACTATAAATGAAAATTTTATTTTCTTGCTTAAAAATCAGTCTTCAGAAAGTTTGATTAATGTTAGTAAAAGCTCTGGGAACAGAATTTAGGAAATACCACTAGTTGAGGTGAGCTGTATGAGCCAACCAGAACCCTAGGAAACATGCTTGTATAAAATTGACTCAT